ACTATGTAACATTAAATAGTATAATTATTATTATATATAACATATTTATATATAATCTAGTATATGTATATTCAGAATACAGAGTGCAAATGTGGCAAGCATATTTAGATTAAATATTTAAAAATGTATCTTAACTAATCCCACTGCTATGGAAATATACAATCAATTCAAGAAAATCGTGGCTAAGCAGGCTTTATTAACCTTAATTGAGAAGGCAAGAAAATGAGCCATGATCCTTGTATTGCTGCTGCAAGTGGCCAAGATATCTGTGTAGACTTGTGGGCATTGATAGAAAAGGACATAGCCTGAGAAGAAACCCTCGAATGTAGGAAATGCAGCCCACCCCCATATAAAATGTGACCTAAGAGGCAGTGAAATGTTCACCAATTGTGATGCCCAGAATTCCACCAGTAGGGGCATTCTTTTGAGTTAAGGAGAGTATTTCTAGAGATATCTGCTAAAATGCAGACATTCACCAAAGTGATCAAGTGTTGACCTGCTGATGCCTATAAACACATTGCCGTGATTGGTTTGTTTTAACAGCTCCCTATCGCCTACTACAGAACAATGATTTGGACCTTTGGCACCCACCTAGTCCTCTCGACCTCATTTCTTGCCATTCTGCCCTTCGCAACAGATGATCCTCCTCACTTCCATAGTTGGTGTTCATATTTCACCTTAAACTAACTCTGTCAGAAAACAATTCTGTCATCACTTTAACAAAAGTACAATCCTACTCTACCAGAGTTTCCTTCAGAGGCAGGAGAATCACTTGCACCCAGAAGGTGAAGTTTGCAGTGAGCTGAGGTTGCACCATTGCACTCCAGCCCAGGCAACAAGAGTGAAACTCTGTCTCAAAAAAAAAAAAAAAGTATATGTATATATATATATATATATATATATATATATATATTTGCTAGTGGGTAGATGAATGTAAAAGTGATATAATATTTCTGGAAGATGGTTTGGCTATATGAATCAAAAGACCTTAAAATATTCACACAGAGTGGTCAAATAATTCTAGGAATTTATCTTAAAGAAATAATTTATGCACAGAGTTTTTATCACAGACTTGTTTTATAAAAGGAAAAACTGGAAATGATCTGAATATCCATAAATAAGAAAAGTATTACATAAATGACATTTTAAAAGAATACTTACATAAAGATAAAAAGTTCATGATACAGTGTTAAATACAAAAAGTAGGATAAAAGATTTTATACAGTATGATCCCAATTTTGCAAAAAGGAAAAGAGTATATATGCATGGAAAGTAATTGTTATATGTGTCAATGTAGCATTGTATTTGCTCTGAGAAAAATAAATAAATAAAAGCATATATACATTGGCCAGGCATGGTGGCTTATGCCTGTGGGGGGAGTATACATATCAATCTACTGAAATATTGGTAATGGATATGTAATTTTTTTATGATTGATGACATTTCTGTATTTTTAAAAATTCTCTACAGTGAATATGTAATACTTTTATAACTAGATAGAAGCAATATATTGCTGATACGGTGGCTCACACCTGTAATCCCAATACTTTGGGAGGCCAAGGTGGGCAGATCACTTGAGGTCAGCAGTTTGAGACCAGCCTGGCCAATATGGCAAAGCTCCATCTCTACTAAAAATATTAGCCAGGTGTGGTAGCACATGCCTTTAGAGCCAGTTCCTCTACCCAGGAGGCTGAGGCAGAAGAATTGCTTGAACCCAGGAAGCAGAGGTTGCAGTGAGCAGCAATTTTGCCACTGCACTCCAGCCTGGGCAACAGAGAAAGACTCCATCTCAAAAAAAAAGAAAGCAATATATTCAAAATATTTTCAAATCTAAATAAACCCCTGTATTAATAAATTGTCATGCTGCTAATAAAGACACACCTGACACTGAGTAATTTATACAGGAAAAAGGATTTATTAGACTTACAGTTCCACAAGGCTAGGGAAGCCACATAATCATGGCAGAAGGCAAGGAGGAGCAAGTAACATCTTACGTGGATGGCAGCAGGCAAAGAGAGAGCTTGTGCAGGGAAATTCTGCCTTATAAAGCCATCAGATCTTGTGAGACTTATTCACTATCATGAGAACAGCACAGGAAAGACCTGCCTCCATGATTCAATTATCTCCCATTGGGTCCCCCCAACAACATGCGGGAATTCAAAATGAGATTTGGGTGGGGACACAGCCAAACTGTTTCAACCCCTAATGTGTGAAAAGTACTCTGCTCATTATTGAAAGATTCAACACTTTTGAATGGATGATCAACACTTTTCTCACTCTAGTGGTCTGTAATTTACAATGTAAATAAACTTATTTCCAAACTCACACAAGAGCAGGCAATAGAAGCCATCAGCAAGCCAGGAGGATGAATGAAGGCATGAAAGTGGTGAGATGGGGTAAGACAGGGTGGTGTACCACAAAGGAGAAAGGAAACAAGGAGGGAGATGAGGAAACTCCAAAGATAAAATTCAACTGTTTCCTCCGTTCAGCAGACACTGAGTACCCACTGATCCTAGTATTTTGTTATATCATAATGTTTCAAAGATAAATAAAACATGGTTGCAGCCTGCCCTGAAATTACACTGGGACAGATGGGTAGGAAAATCTATCATATTAGAACTCAACTATATGATTATGCACAAGATGCTCTGAGATTATAAACAAAGAGCACCTAGGTCATGGTGAAATGGGAATGGTCAGAAAGCAGTTCCAAGAGAACATAAACTCACGCTAAGTCCCAAAAAACAAAATACAAAATTCCAGGCAGCTGAGAACATAAGCAAGGTACAGAAGCATGAAATCACATGGCTATCAGGATGTTTTCAGCTAGCTGCATATGGCCCCTAACTAGGACCCCAAGTATCTACTGGAAGGTAAATGTCATTTCCTCTGGGTTCCATATAAAATGCAGTTGCCTAAATGGCAAGTTTGCAAACTACCCTGAACAACCGTCGATTATGTAAATCCAGGTGTAATTAATACTTATCAACAGACCAGTATGACTCAAGCATTTTGACCTGTTATTTTATTTGCAATCTAAGAGATTTTTTTAAAAAGTCTCTTCCTCACAACTAGTAGCACATCAGGATGCATAACTGCAGGCAGCAGCTGGTCTGAAGCAGACAGACACAGAAGATACCAGGGCAGAGAAAAGATATTCATTTACTTCCATCACCTGCCCATTTTCTTAAAGGAAAAGGGAAATCTAGCCAATTTAATATATGGGGTACATGATATGACCAATATACTACTTATTTTTAGGACTCAATTTCCCCAATTTCAAAGGGCATTTAAATTCAGTTTGTTGGAATGATGTGGACAAAGCTGTGCATAGTGATGACTTGGTTTCTCATCCATTAGCCTCATGCAATACCCTGTAGCTACCCTTACACCAAAGCTAGAAGTAAAGAATGAGAGAATCAGCAGCCACTGCTTCTGCTCTCCAAAATAAGATCCCATGTGCACCATAACAACATATGAAATAATGGCCATGAGCACCAAATCAATGAATATTTAGTAAATTTTTTAAATATTTAATAAAATATATTATTTACCAAAAGTTCCTCTAGACCACTTTAGATGATGCAAAAAAAGCATTTTGTCTTACTTTTAAGTCTCAGTCTAAAGCTTAAATTCTAAATATGATTCTGAATCTCAGTTTGAATAATTTAAAGTTTTGAGAAAAATTGGTAATGCCAATATACCAGTGTAATACTTAAAGAAACTTTCTCACAAAGTAATATATATATATTTTCTTTTCTTTCTTTTTTTTTTTTTCTGAGACAGAGTCTCACTCTGTCACCCAGGCTGGAGTGCAATGACATGATTTCAACTCACTGCAACCTCTACCTCCCCAGCTCAAGCGATCCTCCTGTCTCAGCTTCCTGTGTAGCTGGGATCACAGGTGCCTGCCACCACACCCGGCTAGTTTTTGTATTTTTAGTAGAGTTGGGGTTTTGTTGTGGTTGGCCAGGCTGATCTCCAACTCCTGACCTCAGGTGATCCACCCGCTTTTGGCCTCCCAGATTGCTTGAGATTATAGGCGTGAGCCACTGCGCCCAGCCCTCACAAAGTAATGTTAAAATCAATTTAGTTAGCTTCTAGAAGGGGAATCTACTATATTTTTAACCTTTCCATACTAAATATATTACATGACTCAAGTACAACTACAGATTAAATTTATGTCTTACACCATTGCCACTGTTCACACTAAATTTAGGACCTTTAGAACATGTCTACACAGATATAAAGAGCATATACTTTCTCTCCCTTGTGCATGGCATTTCCAGTTACAGAATATGAGATTACAAGCACAAAATTGGGATCGTGTTCAAAATAAAAAGACTAATCAACTACCCAATTTGTCAGGTATAAGCATGTTCTGGTTGTCAATGTTAGGAAAGGGAATTTTCAAATTAAATTAACAAACAGAAAAAAGTCTTCAACTTAAAAGAAAGGTAAATTAAAATAACAATAAAAAAATTTTATTAGTAAAAAAAGGTTATTGATGATGGGTTGTTTTAGCCTTACAGGTACATTATGGTATCAACACCTGACTTTCTCTTTGAGGCTTGCCTCTTCTGTATTTGAGTGATCTTGGTGGGGTTGATAATCACAGGCATTCTATTCCCTCTCCCTTCTTGGATGAACATATAGTACAGACCTGGTCAATCAGAGTCCTTCCAAGGACTGATATGATCAAAACTGGAAAGTTCTTTCTTTTTCCTGACATTCAACCAACATAAGCCTGGGGCTTCTCTTTGGTCAATTTCTCCAGCTGCATGGAAGTCCTTTTTTTTTTTCTTTTTTTCTTTTTTTTTGTAGGAGGGAAGAGGCCAACATACAGAGGAAAGCAAAGGGGATACAGTAAAAGGGAGAGAGAGGAAAAAGGGAAAGGGAGAAAGAGGTCAAACCTAACAGTGTTACTGATACTACTTCATAAACCCTGAATTCAACCCCTCTTCTTCCCCTAGTACATGGACCTGTGAATTCCCTTTTTCCTTTAAACCAGTTTAGGTTAAGTTTTTGTTATTTGTAATCAACAGTGCCAACATAGTGTCCCATCCCCACTAATTTTAGTGACAATATTCATTATTGTAGAGAATGACTATGAATATACGTTACTATTAGGTTTTCCTTTGATTTCATGCATCAGAAATATGACTACCATTGCTTAACCAAACATATACTAATGTATTCATGTAACAAGAACTCCAGAGAAAGGAACCCAGAGCTGGTGCAGATGTTCAAGAAAGTCACAATTCCTTCTGGCTTCCTTTTCCACCACCTTAACTTGTAGCTTTCATCCTCAAAGTTGCAAGAAGGATGCTCTACCTGCAGTCAGGAAGAAGAGGGGAAAAGAGGAAAAAGTGTGTGCCAGCAGAGGATGTTCCTTTTATATAATAAAACAAAAGCGTGTCTGATAGCGGAACCCTGCAACCATCATAGACTACAGTCTGGTTATATGGACACACATTGGTGCAAGGGAGTCTGAGAAAATGAGGTTTTTATAACAAGTCACATTGCCACTACAAAAAAAAAAAAAAGTATTTGATTAATGAAGGTGAGAACGAATATTCGGTAGGCAAATGTATGGTCAAAGTCAATGGCCTTACAAATTAGTGCAGTATTTGTGAAAAGCAATTTAGACTCATTATATAGACTTCATACCTGGTGATTTAATAAGACCACTTCTAGGAATTTATTCTTAAAGAATTCAAATTGTGAAAAGACTGTAATAAAGATATTTATATTTATCATCTTAAAAATAGAAAAAATCAGCCAGGCATGGTGACTCACGCTTATAATCCAAGCACTTTGGGAGGCCAAGGCAGGTGGATCACCTGAGGTCAGCAGTTCAAGACAAGCCTGACCAATATGTTGAAACGCTGTCTCTACCAAAAATACAAAAATTAGCCAGACGTGGTGGTAGGTGCCTGTAATCCAAGCTACTTGGGAGGCTGAGGCAAGAGAATCACATGAGCCGGGAGGTAGAGGATGCAGTGAGCCGAGATCGCACCATTGCACTCCATCCTGGGCGACAAGAGCAAAATTCCAACTCAAAAAAAAATAAGAAGAAAGAAAAACCTAGGCAAAACCATTCAGGACATAGGCATAGGCAAGGGCTTCATGACTAAAACACCAAAAGCAATGGCAACAAAAGCCAAAATTGTCATATGGGACCTAATTAAACTCCAGAGCTTCTGTACAGCAAAAGAAACAATCATCAGAGTGAACCAGCAACCAAAAGAATGGGAAAAAATTTTTGCAATCTACCCATCTGACAAAGGGCTAATATCCAGAAACTACAAAGAACTAAAACAGATTTACAAGAAAAAAACAAACAAACCCATCCAAAAGTGGGCAAAGGATATGAACAGACACTTTTCAAAAGAAGACATATATGAGGCCAACAAACATGAAAAAAATACTCATCATCACTGATCATTAGAGAAATGCAAATCAAAACCACAATGAGATACCATCTCATGCCAGGTAGAATAGTGATCATTAAATATCTGGAGACAACAGATGCTGGAGAGGATGTGGAGAAATAGGAACACTTTTACACTGTTGGTGAGAATGTAAATTAGTTCAACCATGTGGAAGACAGTGTGGCAATTCCTCAAGGATCTAAAAATAGAAATACCATTTGACCCAGCAATCCCATTACTAGCTATATACCCAAAGGATTATAAATCGTTCTGTTATAAAGACACATACACACGTATGTTCATTGCGGCACTGTTCACAATAGCAAAGACCTGGAACCAACCCAAAGGCCCCTCAATGATAGACTGGACAAAGAAAATGTGGCACATACACACCATGGAATACTACGCAGCCATAAAAATCGATGAGTTTGTATCCTTTGTAGGGACATGGATGAACATGGAAACCATCATTCTCAGCAAACTGACACAAGAACAGAAAATCAAATACCGCATGTTTTCACTCATAGGCGGGTGTTGAACAAAGAACACATAGGCACAGGGAGAAGAGCATCACACACTGGAGTCAGTTGTGGGAGGCTAGGGGAGGGACAGTGGGGGGTGGGGAGGGTGGGCAGGGATATGTGGGGAGAAATGCCAGATATAGATGATGGAGGAATGGAGGCAGCAAACCACCTTGCCATGTATGTACCTAAGCAAAAATCCTGCATGATCTGCACATGTACCCCAGAACCTAAAGTACAATTAAAGAAAAAAAAAAAGAAAAAGAAAAAAGAAAGAAACCTGCATATCCTAAATATCCAAAAATAAGGAAATGATTATAAAAATTGTATGTTTGCAGATTATGTATTGTACAGGCATTAAAAACTATAATTCTTAAGTCTATGAAACAAATGAGGAAATGTTTATGGTATAATGTTTGGGTTGGTTGGTTGGTATGTTTTAGTTCATTTTTTGTTTTTTCCCAGAACAGGGTCTTGCTCTGTCACCCAGGCTGCAGGACATGATCTGGGCTCACTGTAACCTCCACCTCCCGGGCTCAAGCTATCCTCCCACCTCAACGTCTCAAAGTGTTGCAATTACAGGCATAAACCACTGTATCAGACCTATGATATGTTAAAATTATTGACAAGATGATTTTTTATAAACTAATATTTTACACACATCAAAAACCATAAAGGAGAAACTTACTGAAAGAAAATACACTAAGATACTGACAGTGGTTGTATTAGGCTATTGGGGCTATAATTTATTTTTCTCCTTTCCTCCAAGTGACAGTTTTAATTGTTTCCTTTAATAATAAATTAATAAAGTGAAACATTGATTTTAAGTCAATTAGTTTTATCAAGATATATTCATTGAAGTAGCTCTGAAATTTATTCACTATAGATTTATGCTACTCTAGTATTTCTTCCATCGTTTAGCAGAGCATTGGGATTAAAATGACATCTAATAAATATTTGTTGGTAGATTATTTGATGATTACTTTTAAACAGGATTAAGAAACAGAAGCAATAGGATGCATGAATTGATAGATAAATGGATGAATTGATAGATCAATAGACAGATTTATTATAAGACATTGACCCATGCAATTATGGAAGCTGGCAAATTTAAAATCTGCAAAGCTGATGTTCCAGTTTAAGTCCAAACAGGAGCATGTTGCTGGAGAATCGTGTTGCTGGAAAAGCCTATGTCCTAGTTCAAAGGTCTCAAGCAGGAAAATTCTCTTTTACTTGAAGGAAAGTCAGTTTTTTTGGTCTATTCAGGCTTTCAAATGAATAGGCCCACCCACATTATGGAAGGCAATCTGCTGTACTTAGTGTATAGACGTAAAAGTTAATCTTGGGCCAGGTGCCGTGGCTCATGCCTGTAATCCCAGCATTTTGGGAGAGTGAGGTGGGCACATCACTTGAGGCCAGGAGTTCGAGACCAGCCTGGCCAACATGGTGAAACCTCCTCTCGACTAAAAATATAAAAATTAGCCAGGCATGGTGGTGGGCACCTGTAATCCCAGCTACACAGGAGCCTGAGGTGGGAGAATTGCTTGAACCCAGGAGGCAGAGGTTGCAGGAATCCGAGATCATTCCACTGTACTCCAGCCTAGAAAAAGAGCGAGACTCTGTCTCTAAATAAATAAATAAATGTTGATCTTGGACCAGGCGCAGTGGCTCATGCCTGTAATCCCAGTACTTTGGGAGACTGAGGCAGATGGATAACTTAGCTCAAGAGTTTGAGACCAGCCTGGGCAACATGGCAAAAACCCATCTCTACAAAAAATAGCAAAATTAGCCAGGTATGGTGGCGCAAGCCTGTAGTCCCAGCTCCTGTAGGGGCTGACGTGGAAGGATCGCTTGAACCTAGGGTGCAGAGGCTGCAGTGAGCTGTGATGGTGCCTCTGCACTCCGGCCTGGGCGACAGAATGGGACGTCTCTAAATAAATATGTGTATGTACGTATGTATGTATGTTAATCTTATCCAAAAACTTCCTCACAGAAATAGCCAAAAAAAATGTTTGACCAAATATCTGGGTACCTGTGGTACCTGTGGCCCAGACATATAAAATTAACCATCACAAACAGTTACAGGCAAAACTAAATTTATGTCACATGTTGGATTAGATTTAAATCTTTTTAAATCACCAATTCTTTCCCCTGTTTAATGCCAGTGTTTATAAAGTTCATACATCGTTGCATTTTACCTTCATGCCTTTGCTCATTCCTCTCCCTGAACTTGAAATGTTTTTCCTGTCATTGCCACATTTCTATATCCTTAATATCTTTAAACCCTGCTCAATTGCAACATTCTTTATAAAGCCTTCTCTGATTCCTACAGTCTTCATACCTCCTACCCTGACCTCCTACAGACACATCAAAATAGAAGCAGGCCGGGCATGGTGGCTCGTGCCTGCAATTCCAGCACTTTGTGAAGCTGAGGCAGGAGGATTGCTTGAGCACAGGAGATCAAGACTAGTCTGAGCAACACAGTGAGACCTCGTCTGTACAAAAAAAAAAAAAAAATTAATTAGCCAGGCATTGTGGCACACACCTGCAGTCCTAACTGCTTGGAAGGCTGAGATGGGAGGATTGCTTGAGCCCAGGAGTTCCAGGTTGCAGTGTGCTGTGATCATACCACTGCACTCCATCCTGGGCAACAGAGCAAAGCCCTTTTTCTATAAGAAAAGAAAGGAGAAACAGAAGTAATTTTTTCCTTCTTAACACATAAAGTGCTTTTCTCTAATGGTATGTCTCAGATCTACCTTGTTTTATTTTTATGAACAGGTATTTTAGTCTACAAACTTCTTCAGGAAAAAATTTATGTCTAATCCAGTCTTGTCTCCTGAGTACCTAGCACTGAGCAGACTTTAAACATTTATTTGCGGAATTAACATATTTTATAGATTTTCCTTATAACTAACAGAGTCAGCAATTTCTTGAATTAATAATAGTTCAAAGACATTTTCTAACTAAGCAATAGAGTTCAAAGTACTCCCATATTGAGTAAGTTTAAGATAAATACACCTTTAGTTGGTTAGAAGTTTCAGTTACTTTTTAACAAATACGTTTTATATGTTTAACTGTAATTTTGTTTTTTAAGATGGGTCTCACTATGTGCTTAGGCTGGGCTTGAAATATCAGCCTCAAGTAATCATCTCAGCTAGGCTTCCCAAAGTGCTGGGATTACAGGCAAGAGCCACTGTACCTGACCCATAATTTTAAGTATTAATTGTCAAGTGCACTTAAGGTAAAGCATAGGGAAATCGTTTTGATTATGTTAATATTTATCCTTTACTGCCACTTTTCCCATGTTTGAAGTCCCAAGAAATTAATCCTTTCATCATTCATTCTTATAAGACAGGTTTTTTTTCCCACACTTACTCTTTGGGCAAAGGCACAAGTTGAACAAAATTAATTTAGCTGATCAACCATAGAACATGTGTTCCTCATCCTTTGGAGAAGTTTACATCACCTTTCTGCTACATTATTTCTGCAGAACCCCATAGAATCAACAGATCTCGAACAACCTAGAATATATGCTAGCACCTTGGGTGAATCCATATTTCACCACAATTAGGACACTTCACTGCTGGCATTTAAATAATCTTTCATAATTATCAAAAATTTCAAAGCTTTTGTTTTTTCTCCCTCTAGTGGTCAATTATAATCATTAAAATGGAAAAACTGTAAAGATGATCTTGAATGTGGGTGAAAGGTGGAGATGAACATTTAATTTCATTGCAAATAAATATGAAATGTATTCAAACCTATGTCTCATATTCTGAGAAGTGATTTATTTGGTATACAATTTCTTAAGATATTACACACAAATACTCTCTATATTCTCTGAATAATACTTATATTTTATCCTAATAACTGTTTAAACATATGCTGCATAATTTCCTTTTTAGAAAAATGTGATTTTCATTAGTCTTATGGGATCTGGAAAAAAAAAGAAAAAATAATAAAATATAATTTTCATACCAAATTACCTGATACATTTTAGTAATATGGATCACTAAATATTTTTAATTTTTAAAAAATGTTCCCCTGAGGCCAGGCACAGTGACTCACGCCTGTAATCTCAGAATTGGGATTCTGGGAGGCCGAGGTGGGTGGATCACTTGAGGTCAAGAGTTCAAGACCAGCCTGGCCAACATGGTGAAAACCCATCTCTACTAAAAATACAAAAATTAGCTGGGTGTGGTAGCATGTGCGTGTGGTCCCAGCTACTTGGGAAGCTGAGGCAGGAGAATTGCTTCAGTCTGAGAGGCAGAGGTTACAGTGAGCCAAAATCATGCTACTGCACTCCAGCCTGAGCAACAGAGTGAAACTCTGTTTCAAAACAACAACAACAACAACAACATCAAACAGCAATTAATTAGAAAAGAATGGGACCATTAAAAAAAAAAAAAGAAAAGAAAACAGCAATTAAGTGCATGTTGGGCATTTCCACATATCAGTACAATCAATCTGCACCTTTTAAAAAAGAATTGCATATTATTCCAATGTTAGCATTACTTTCTTATTCTTTGGAGACAGTCTTGCTTTGCCACCCAGGCTAGAGTGCAATAGCATGCTCTGGGCTCACTGCAACTTCTACCTCTAGTGCTCAAGTGATCCTCCCACCTCAGCCTCCCAAGTAGTTCGGACCACAGGTGCATGCCACCACACCCAGCTAATTTTTGTATTTTTTGTAGAGATGGGGTCTCACCATGTTACTGAGGCACAAGAATCACCTGAACCCAGGAAGTAGAGGTTGCAATGAACCAAGATTTCACCACTGCACTCCAGCACTAAGTGACAGAGCAAGACCCTGTCTCGAAAAAAAAACAAAAAAAGAGGAAAAAAATGTTTCCCTCATAGGTGTGTGTCTCTATTTTAAAAATAAAGAAAAAAAAAGTTGTCCTAATTGGACAATGCTTCCCCCTCCACCCTCCATTTAATTTGCATTGGCTGTTTGCTCTTATGTAATGTTCCCCTTTCAATTTTTATTTTCTTGATTATAAAATGTTATGGAAAACTTGTTAAATTAGAAATAAAATTCAAGCCAGGCATGGTGGCTCACATTTGTAAAAATACAAAAACTAGCTGGGCATGGTGGTGGGCACCTGTAATCCCAGCTATTTGGGAGGCGGAGACAGGAGAATCACTTGAGCTCAGTAGGTGGAGGTTGCAGTGAGCCGAGATTGAGCCACTGCACTCCAGCCTGGGCGATGAGCAGGACTTCATCTCAAAAATAAACAATTAATTAATTAATTTCAAAATTCCATGATACTTTTGTAAAATAATGAGAGTGATATACAGAGGGGATGTACCTACAAGAAATTCTGATTTCAGAGGTGGAGCTAGAGTCAAGCATTCCTGAATAGAAAAACTTCATAATTTTTAAAATTTTGTTGACTAAATGTGGTAAATAGTGAATCATCTTGAAAGGAATACTGTTAAACATGAAATAAGTAAATAACTTATTTAAAAGAGGAAGCTAATCGTAATACTCCTTTCCCTAAGAAGGTAATGGTAAGTTAGACATTTGGTTTTATTTGCTTTAGGCTAAAGTTGTTTCTTCTGGGACCACTGAAGGACCAAAGACCCTACGTCTATAAGAATATTATTATAGTGTGATCAAGTCCCACTTCCCCAGTTTTAAAACCAGAAGCCCCACATTCCAGGAACTCCTTAGCCCCAGGCCCAGACAAACCAGGACAACTACAGCCCGTCACTCTAACTCCTCTCCTTATGGCTACTTTTTTTTTTTTTTTTTTTTTGAGGCAGATTCTTGCTCCATTTCCCAGGCTGGAGTGCAGTGGCATGATCTCACCTCACTGCAGCCTAACCTCCCACCTCAGCCTCCCAAGTAGCTGGGTCTACAGGTGTGTACCACCATGCCCAGGTAATCTTTTTATTTTTTCTAGAGATGGGGTTTTGCCTTGTTGCCCAGGCTGCCTTATAGCTACTTTCTAGCAAGGCAGCATCATGTCCTTGACCTTTGAGGCAACATGGGGCAGGGGACTCAAAGAAAACTTCTCTCTTTTCCAGAACTAACTCTGCTCTTTCCTGACCCACCTCTGCCCTAGCTGCAGCCTGCCTCCAAGTATCCCAGGGCACACAAGAACACCACTGACCATGACCTAGCATGTGGGCTACAGCACATTCTCCCTCCTGACCCTGCTTTTCTGCTCCCCATCTATCATTAACAGTCTTGCTCCCACTGAGGGAGCCACCAACTCCCACACAACTGTATTCCCAGGGACTCTGCTGCCATTGAAAGACTCTTTTTATCACCTACATCAGAGTTTTACAGACTTCATTTTTAGAGCAAGATCACATTCTTTACTAAGACTTGGCATGTAGGAAAAGGAAATAAAGAGTGGTTTTATCCTCACAAAGAGGATAATGATAACAGGCAATTCCTTTTTTTTTTTTAAACTCTTATTTTGGTGTTGAGCAAGTAAGCAGATTTATTTAAAAATCAAACTAGTTAGGAGTAATATAGATTTAAGAATATTGAGAGTAAGAATAATGAAAACATATCCTTATTTTGTTTGTTACCTGTTATCATTTTATCAGTGGCTAATGTTTGACCATAGACTCTGAAGATTTAAATTTTAAAATGACAAAAGGAGAATGAAATGAATATTTAAAATTTTTTAAATTGTAGTATTTATTTTTAAAATCAGGTTGTACTTACACCTGATAAAATATTTGGGCGGGGCACAGTGGCTCACACCTGTAATCCCAGCACTTTGGGAGGCCAAACTGGGCTGATTACCTGAGGTCAGGAGTTCGAGGCCAGCCTGGCCAACATGGTGAAACCCCATCTCTACTAAAAATACAAAAATTAGCCAGGTGTGGTGGCAGGCACTTGTAATTGCAGCTATTTGAGAGTCTGAGGCAGGAGAATTGCTTGAACCCAGGAGGCAAAGGTTGCCGTGAGCTGAGATCACACCATTGCACTTCAGCCTGGGCAATAAGAACAAAACTCTGTCTAAAAAAAAAAAATTCAAAAGGGGCAGTCTGTCTTTCAAACCTTGTACTTCAGCCATCTTATTCCCTACTTGATAACAGGCAATTTCTTTAGGCACATTATAATAGTCACAAGTCAAGCTGACTATGAAAAAAACGTTAAATCTTCCACAATGTTAACTATAAAACGGTGTCAACTTTGAACACTAGTTTAACAAAGTTTGAATTTCTAAGGGAATAAAGAGCATATTTTTGAAAAGGTCTACACATTTTTTCCATGAAAAGTAAAACATAAGGGCTAGGTGACAAGCAACTTTGTCTATTATAGGGGTTGAGCTGTATGATCCCAGCTCTGTGTGTTACGGAGGCTGATTTGTCTTCCAGTAAACAAACTGCTCATCAACCACTCAATATCAGCAGAAATAAGACCATCATCTTCCCCAAAAAAACATTGTTTCTCTTTCTCCACTGTTTTTTAAACAAACCACACCACCAACCAGTCAGATGCAATAAACAAAAAAACGATTGTCCCACGTTAGCCACACAAGTAGCTGGGACCACCAGTGCATGCCACCATGCCTGGCTAAAGGAAGCATCTTTGACTCCTCTCTCTACATCACTGCCATATGCCATCAATCCTCCATGGAAATGTTTCTCAAACTCCACCTTTTCTCTTTCTTCATGGGACACACCCTAATGGGGTAGCTATCATCTCACACAAGACTCCCATGGGTCTGCCCAATTGCCCCTCTCCAATTAATTCTCTATACTACTGCCACATGTATGATATTATAGCTGAATTATGTTTCCATAAAATTTGTATGTTGAAGACAAGTACCTCAGAATGTGACTGTATTTACAGACAAGGCCTTTAAAGAGGTGACTAAGTTAAAATGAGATCATGGAGGGATCTTAATCCAATGACTGGTGTCCTTCTAAGAAGAAATCCTTATAAGAAAAAGAAGGAGACATTAGGGGCTCACAACACAGAGAAATGACTATATAAAGAGGCAGCAAGAGGGAGGCCATCTGCAAGCTAAGGAGAGAGGCCTCTGAGGAAACCAAGCCTGCAACATCTTGACATTGGACTTCCAGCCTTCAGAACTGTGGGAAAATAAATTTCTGTTGTTGGGGCTGGGCGCGGTGGCTCAAGCCTGTAATCCCAGCACTTTGGGAGGCCGAGGCGGGTGGATCACGAGGTCAAGAGATCGAGACCATCCTGGTCAACATGGTGAAACCCCATCTCTACTAAAAATACAAAAAATTAGCTGGGCATGGTGGCGCGTGCCTGTAATCCCAGCTACTCAGGAGGCTGAGGCAGGAGAATTGCCTGAACCCAGGAGGCGGAGGTTGCGGTGAGCCGAGATCGCGCCATTGCACTCCAGCCTGGGTAACAAGAGTGAAACTCTGTCTCAAAAAAAAAAAAAAAAATTTCTGTTGTTTAAGTTAACCAGTCCACAGTATTTTGGCAGCCCTAGAAAATTAATATATATGTTGTCTTCCCCCTTCCTGTCACCCTTAAAATAAAATGCAAGAGAATTAATATGGCTATAAAGCTCTAGATGATTTGGTCCTATGCTTCATTAGGACCATGATTTGGTCCTAATCTCCTGCTTCATTCCGTTCCCTGGCTCTCTGTTCCTAGCTGTGCTCAACTTCTCCCAGTTCTCAAAGATACCTGGGGCCTTCTCACAAGGTGCTTCCTTTGCAGGAAGTACCAGCCCCCCACCTTCATTACCCACTTAATTTCAGGTCTCCTCTCAGCAGTCATTTCCTCAAGGAAATCTCCTTGACTCCCTAGTCTAGGTCAATTTCCTCTTCATATCACTAAATATGTTGTCATTATCTGCCTCATATCTACTGTTTTTTCCACTAATTAGGAAGCTCCACAATTGCTGAATCACTACTGTCTGGTTTACTTTTCTATCTACAATGCCAGCACAGTACTTGGCACATAGCAGGCCTTCAACAGCATTAGTTGACCATAAGACTGATGCTCTCTTTCTTTTACTATCTACAGCTACTTCTATTGAGAAATTGAGACATCAGTTGGCTTAATTGGAGAAGTTAGTGGGACAGAATCATAAGATGCCTAATATGCAGCCATCCTTCCTAGCAGACTCTATTTTCACTGGCGCCCATAGCTTCCCAGGAAATGTAGTAAAAAAGAAGAATGGCTAATAGACCTCAACATTCCTCTCTTAGGCCCTGTCCCATATGACCAGGGGGATAATGCACACTGAGCTCTGGAGATATGCCTGTATCACAGGCTAGCTGAGAACACTTCTGTAAAATGCTACTCCGAGGGAGACTGTGAACTAGCCTAGCAAACACCACAGTATTTTGAACTGCAGCCAAGATCATCTACAAAAATCATTCTTGAAATGTTAAAGAGGATAATTTAAAACTAAGAATATAGTAGGAGGAACACATATTTTCAAATAGGAATCTGGAAAGTTCTGCATGTTCTGTTAATCTCACTGAAGTGAGAGGTCATTAGCTGAGTTTTATTCCAAAAGGAAGGGAACAAACACCTCCTGGGTGCTAGAAATGAAAGACTTCACAGAGATATAAGTTAACTCTCTTCTCTGAAAAATCATCTCTCAAAAGTTTTTCTTTCCTTTGGTGTTGACTGGATCTTAAAATAGAGTAGTCTACCTTTTCTCTCTCCAAGGAGCCCCAATATTCTATTATTTGCCATGAGAGAAAATCTTTGTGACCTACATCTTGTATGCAGGTCCCTGAGCCACCTTCTTTCTGGTGCCTACAGTGACTGAGACACAGGATTCCTGGTCCTAATGTATGAAGCAATGCCTGCAGGGGTCTTGCTTTAAGACAGGAGGAGACTGCCTGCATGCAAGATAATGGCTGGCTAGCAAACATAGGTGTGAAAAGGTCAACCAGTAAGTTGATTCTATGAAATCTGAATTTCAGTACCATTTCTCTTTATAGTTTTAAAAATTACTATATGTCAGTTATATTCATATGCTTTATCTCTTTAATCCTCAGAACAACTTGCAATGGAATATTAGGGAACTATTAAAATGACAATACGGGCTAGCTGTGGTGGCTTATGCCTACAATCCCAGCATTTTGGGAAGCCGAGGTGGGCAGATTGTTTGAGCTCAGGAGTTTGAGACCAGCCTGGGCAACAGGGCAAAACCCATCTCTACAAAAAAGTACCAAAGAATTAGCCAGGCATGGTGGCACATGCTTGTGGTCCCAGCTACTCAGGAGGATGAGGTGGGAAGATCAATTGAGCTAGGAAGTCAAGGCTGCAGTGAGCCATGATCATGTCACTGTGCTCCAACCTGAGAACAAAACCCTGTCTCAAAAAAAAAAAAAAAAAGATAATACAGATGTATATTTGTTAACATATTAGTTTATTGATATGGAGAACACTTAAAACAATTTTTTTTTTGAGACAGGGTCTTGCTCTGTCACCCAGGTTGGAGTACAGTGATACAATCATAGCACACTGCAGCCTCAACCTACTGGGTTCAAGCGATTGTCCTACTTTAGCCACCCAAGTAGCTGGGACCACCAATGCATGCCACCATGCCTGGCTAGTTTTTTAATTTTTTGTAGAGATGTGGTCTCAATATTGCCCAGGCTTGTCTCGAACTCCTGGGCTCAAAAAATCCTCCTGCCTTGACTTTCCAAAGTGCTGGGATTACAGGCATGAGCAACTGTGCCTGGCCAGAAAACATTTAAAACATATTAAATGTTAAAGGTTACCAAACAGAATGCATAGAGTGGGCCCATTTTTATAGAAATATACAAACATATTTAGATTTATATACCACAGCAAAATGTCTAGTGAGTCAAGCACTTTTTAAAAATCTCTTTAAGATAAATGGGGAATACCTGAAACAGGGACTCTAGTAGGACTGAGGCCATAACTTATAAAAATAGTAAGGCCAAGATTTAAATCCAGGTATTTTGAAGCCAAAGCTCCAAAGCTATTTTGTACTTTGCTAGATTACTCCCTCGGTCAATCTTGAAGCAGTGACTAGGCTTCTTTAGGGGAATGGTTTATTTATAAAATAAGGAAACACCCCACAATCCCTAAAGGTCTCATAGAAATGAGGTTCTGGTAGCCAGATAGTGAACACTTTACGTCCAAATTGGGTATGCCCATAAAGACTCCTTACCTTGGTTAAGTCACAGTAGGCCTGAGTTGCCTTAGTTTTTATACTCTCCCTATGCCCAAATTAGGAGAAAAACACAAATGAGCACATTTGACAATGGCTGTCATAAAGATATCTTAGAGGATGAATACTTTTAAGTATAGGAGTATTTTTAAATATTTAATCTCATTCATCTGAATAGCTCTGGACCCTTGATAATTAAATCATAATCTCAAAGACCATTTTATTATATTATCTTATTTCACTTAGCTAGCCATAGAAATTTCTCACATCCATCATACAGATTGAAAAAGAAAAGGACATGTGATTCATAAAACAAGGAGGTCTGCATTTCTTTTGGCAATTGTGTTTTGAAATAAGGAAAGGGAGTTGGCTGGCAAGATGGCCAAATAGGACCAGCTCTGGTCTGCAGCTCCCAGTGAGATCAACACAGAAGGTGTGTGATTTCTGCATTTCCAACTAAGGTATTCCATTCATCTCACTGGGACTGGTTGGACAGTGGGTGCAGCCCACGGAGGGCGAGCCGAAGCAGGGTGGGGCATCATGTCATCTGGGAAGTGCAAGGGGCCAGGGGATTTCTCTCCTCTAGCCAAGGGAAGCTGTAAGAGACTGTACCGGGAAGAACAATGTATTCCAGCCCAGATACCATGCTTCTCCCATGGTCTTCACAACCAGCACACTAGGAGATTGAACCACCAGGGCCCTGGGTTTCAAGCACAAAACTGGGCAGCTGTTTGGGCAGACACCAAGCTAGCAGCAGGAGTTTTGTTTTTGTTTTTTTTCCATACCCCAGTGGCACCTGAAACGCCAGCGAGACAGAATCCTTCACTCCCCTGGAAGCGGGGCTGCAGCCAGGGAGCCAAGTGGTCTGACTCGGCAGGTCCTACCTACACAGAGCACAGCACGCTAAGATCCACTGGTTTGAAATTCTCACTACCAGCACTGCAATCTGAGGTTGACCTAGGGCACTCAAGCTTGTTAGGGGAAGGGCCGTCCACGATTGCTGAGGCTTGAATAGGAGGTTTTCGTTTCATACCACAAAAAAAGTCACCAGGAAGTTTGACCTGGGGAGAGCCCACTGCAGCTCAGCAAGGCCTCTGTGGCCAGACTGCCTATCTAGATTTCTTCTCTCTGGGCAGGGCATCTCTGAAAAAAAGGGAGCAGCCCCAGTCAAGAACTTATAGATAAAACCCCCATCTCCCTGGGATAGAGCACCTGAGGGAAGGGGTGGCTGTGGATACAGTTTCAGCAGACTTAAACATCCCTGTCTGACAGTTCTGAAGGGAGCAGTTTATCTCTTAACACAGCATTTGGACTCTGATAAGGGAGAGTCTGCCTCCTCAAGTGGGTCCCTGACCTTCATGTATCCTGACTGGGAGACACCTTCCAGTAAGAGCTGACAGACACCTCATGCAGGAGAGCTCTGGCTGACATCTGGCAGGTGCCCCTCTGGGACGAAGCTACCAGGGGAAGGAACAGGCAATAATCTTTGATGTTCTGCAGCCTCCGCTGGTGATACCCAAGCAAACAGGGTCTGGAGTGGACCTCCAGCAAATTCCAGCAGACCTGCAGCAGAGGGGCTTCATGTATCCTGACTGTTAGAAAGAAAACTAACAAACAGAAAAAAAATGATATCAATATTAACAAAAAAGGACATCCACTCAGATACCCCATCCGAATGTCACCAACATCAAAGACCAAAATCCATAAAGATGGGGAGAAACCAGTGCAAAAATGCTGAAAATTGCAAAAACCAGAACGCCTCTTCTCCTCCAAAGGATCACAACTCCTCGCCAGCAAGGGAACAAAACTGTATAAAGAATGAGTTTGATGAACTGACAAAAGTAGGCTTCAGAAGGTGGGTAATAACAAACTAAAGGAGCATGTTCTAGCCCAATGCAAGGAAGCTAAGAAACTTGAAAAAAAGGTTAGACAAATTGCTCACTAGAATAACCAGGTTATAGAAGAACATAAATTACCTGATGGAGCTGGAAAACACAGCACGAGAACTTCGTGAAGCATTCACAAGTATCAACAGCCATATCAATCAAGCAGAAAAAAAGATATCAGAGATTGAAGGTCAACTTAATGAAATAAAGCAAGAAGACAAGATTAGATAAAAGAGAGTGAAAAGAAACAAAGCCTCCAAGAAATATAGGACTATGCAAAAAGACCAAATCTACATTTGATTAGTGTACCTGAAAGTGATGGAGAAAATGGAATCAAGTTGGAAAACATTCTTCAGGATATTATCCAGGAGAACTTCCCCAACCAAGCAAGGCAGGCCAATATTCAAATTCAGAAAATATAGAAAACACCACAAAGATACTCCTCAAGAAGAGCAATCCCAAGACACATAATCATCAGATTCACCAAGGTTGAAATGAAGGAAAACATGTTAAGTGTAGCCAGAGAGAAAGGTCAGGTTATCTAGAAAGGGAAGCCCATCAGACTAAAAACAGATCTCTCTGCAGAAACCCTACAAGCTGGAAGAGAGTAGGGACCAATATTCAACATTCTTAAAGAAAAGAATTTTCAACCCAGAATTTCATATCTAGCCAAACTAAGCTTCATAAGCAAAGGAGAAATTAAATTCTTTACAGACAAGCAAATGCTAAGAGATTTTGTCACTACCAGACCTGCATTACAAGAACTCTTGAAGGAAGCACTAAATTTGGAAAGGAAAAGCTGGTACCAACCACTGCAAAAACATAACAAACTGTAAAGACCATCGACACTATGAAGAAACTGCATCAACTAACAGGCAAAATAACCAACCTAGCATCATAATGACAGGATCAAATTCACACATAACAATATTAACCGTAAATGTAAACAGGCTAAATGCCCTAATTAAAAGACACAGACAGCCAAATTCGATACAGAGTCCAGACCTATCGGTGTGCTGTATTCAGGAGACCCATCTCATGTGCAAAGTCACACATAGGCTTAAAATAAAGGGATGGAGGAATATTTACCAAGCAAATGGAAAGCAAAAACAAGCACGGTTGCAATCCTACTCTCTGTAGATCAAAAGAGACAAAGAACGGCATTTCATAATGGTAATGGGATCAATGCAACCAGAAGAGCTAACTATCCTAAATATATATGTACCCAATACAGGAGCACCCAGATTCATAAAGCAAGTTTGTAGAGACCAACAAAGAGACTTAGACTCCCACACAATAATAGTGAGAGACATTAACATCCCACTGTCAATATTATACATATCAACAAAAAGTACAGGACCAGACAGATTCACAGTCAAATTCTACCAGAGGTACAAAGAGGAGCCGGTACCATTTCTTCTGAAACTATTCCAAACAATAGAAAAAGATGGAATATTCCATAACTCATTTTATCATCTCTTCAGAGACATCATCCCTCAGAGACAATGTGACTTCCTATTACTGGGTATATACCCAAAGGATTAGAAATTATTCTATGATAAAGACACATGCACACGTATGTTTACTGTGGCACCGTTCACAATAACAAAGACTTGGAACCAGCCCAAATGCTCATCAATGATAGATTGGATAAAGAAAATGAGGTACATATACACCATGGAATACTATGCAGCCATAAAAAGGATGAGTTCATGTCCTTTGCAGGGATGTGGATGAAGCTGAAAACCATCATTCTCAGCAAACTAACACAAGAACAGAAAACCAAACACTGCATGTTCTCACTCATAACTGGCAGTTAAACAGTGAGAACACATGAGCACAGGGAAAGGGACATCACACACCAGGGCCTGTCTTGGTATGGAGGCCTAGGTGAGGGATAGCATTAGGACAGATACCTAATATAGATGATGGGTTGATGGGTGCAGCAAACCACCATGGCATGTGTATACCTATGTAACAAACCTGCATATTCTGCACATGTGCCCCAGAACTTAAAGTATAATTTTAAAAAAATAAATAAACAAGGAAAAGAAGAGATAACACTGGGATACTGCCTGAAAGACATGAAATGTAAAGTGAGCCATAAAAATAGGCTGATTCTGATGTCTGAAACTGAAATAATGCTTCCTGCCCAACTGGAAAACAATAAGAAATGTTTAATTTCAGGAAGACCCCTTTACTAATTTTGGTTTTTGGTTTGTTTTTGTTTGTTTTTTTTGGCTTGGTTTGGTTTGTTTAGATATGGAGTCTCACTGTGTTGTTCAGGCTGGTCTCAAACTCAGGTTCAAGCAATCCTCCCACCTTGGCCTCCCAAAGTGCTGGGATTATAAGTGTGAGCCTCACTGCACCTGGCCACTAGTTATTTAAGGTCAAAACGGTTTGTTAAGTAAGTTATCATTCTAGTCCTCTTGTTATCACTACTAGAAACCCACACTAAGTTTACAAATTATATCTTCCACTTGATTTGCAGTGTCAAAGTAAATACCATGATTAGGAAACTCCTCTTTAGAAACTCAAAACCATGCTAATATTGCTTCTTCCATTTTAGTTGTAACATTCTATAGTTAAATGCAAACTATTTTTCTTCTACTAGGTAGCAGCTATTTATAATACACTGTGAAATAAGATATATCTCTTGAACCATCCATTAGACCTGCACTCTACGGTGGCTACTGGACACCTGAGTGTGACTTATTGAAATTGATGTATACTCTACAGATAAAATACACATTAGATTTTAAAGCCTTAGCACCAAGAGGGATGTAAAATACCTCATCAATATTTTTGTATTGATTACATGCTGAAATGGTAATATATTGATATATTTGAATATAGAAGTATAAAAAATATATACTATTAAAATTAATTCTATCTGCTTTTTACATGTAACTTATAAAGAATTTTTAATGTGGCTCACACAGTATTTCTATTGGACAACATTGTTTTCACTTTTCACCCGACTCAGGAGTAAGAGTACCAGACTTTATTTCTATATACTTGGAAAATCTTGGGCTTACAATTTACTTCAAAAGAGGAACAAAAATGTAAAACTTTTACGAGCATGGTTAACAAAATGGAGAATATAAAACTTATGTTCCCAAAAGTAGCATATATGCACCTGTTAAATCCTTTCACAACTGTCATCCAAGCTACCTCTTTCCCTGCCTGTACTAATATTAACATAATAGCTTTTTAACAGATGCAACTGATTGTTTTTGATGCCTACTCACGACCGGTTGTCTTTACCATCTCAATCCTTGCTGACCAGACTTCTTCCTTCCGCTGGAATCTACTTTTTTTTTTTCTTTGCCCAAAAGTTTCTCTGGTCATAAGATCCCACTAGGCTTATGTGTGTGGCAGAGGAAGTACCAAGAAATTACCCTGTGGGAGCTTCCTCAAACAGTAACTGACAGGAGTTGATGTATAGATACCCCAGCCCGTCACAGCTTCACACTGCAGGCGGGGTAAGCCGGCAGTATGTATTCTACACCCGGCCTTCTTTCTCGGTGGGATTCAGGTTTAGTTGGCTACAGCTGTAACTTGTTTAATTATTTGCCCTATGTTGCTCCAGCCTTTCCTTCTCTCTTCCCCACCCCTTATTGAATTTCTTGGAATCATTTATTTAGCAAATAAGCTACTTGCCTGAGAATCCTTGTCTTGGGGACTGCTTGTGGGAAACCCAAACTAAGTTAATTGGTCTTCCCACTTCCCCTCTCACCTCTCACTAATCCATCCTCAACCTCAAAAGCCAGGCTATCTTTTTAAACAATTGCTGTGACAGTATCACTTCTTAATTACAACTTTTCAGTGATTTCCCACTCCTCTTAGGCTAAGAACATCTAATACCTCAGTTTCAAGTTTCTTGATGTCAATTCCAATAACTGCTTTACTACCTGAGTTTCTTTGTATTGATTACATGCTGAAATGGTAATATTTTGACATATTTTATTATAGCAGTATAAAAACTATGTACTATTAAAATTAATTCTATGTGCTTTTCACGTGTAGCTTCTAAAGAATTTTAAACGTGGTTCACACAGTATTTCTATTAGACAACACTGCTTTCACTTTTCACTTTTTTTCGCCACACACTAGAGACTTTGCTGTCACTCAGAACTGCTAAACCTCAAAGATTTTCAATTCCAGCATCCCACACCTGACCATAGTCTTCTATGTTCATACAAACACTACTACTCTGCCTGCACTAGGACCTCCAGTCCTTCCACCCTTTCTTTTCTCACCATCTGGCAAGCTCATTATGGCGTTGCACATCCCTACTTCACCTAAACCCCCACAACACCGCTTTTACTACTCTCTGACTGGCACTCTCAAGGCAGCTGGCCTCCTCTCAGGGTAGTATTAACTTAGAAACCATCTGCCCTGAATATTTTGCATTCTCTTGCCCCTAAATCTAGGCTGGAGGCAAATGTAACAGAAGGAGCAGCTCAGGATTTAAAATTTTCCTCACAAATAAGTGATCCCTAATCTCAAACAGAGACTTAATACCACTGAATAATTTTTACTGTCTCATTACTTTCCTAGGAAATTCTATACCTTAATCACTCTCCAACATCCTGTGTCTGTTTACTCTCAGCAGATTACCTCGGGTCTGAATTTGCAGAGAAGCAAATCTATCCAAAGCCTTAACTCTTTTGCTCCTGCACAAAACTGATATTCTCCTCTTGTGCTCCACAGCCCAACCCTATCTCCTGAGACTGATCCTGAATCCAAGTCCTTTGATAATCAAGATCTATCTCAACTTCCCAGTCTCACCTTCTGCTTCTCCTCCAGGTATATCCTGCCTGCAGTTCTGGGAACCCTGTCCAGACATGCAGAGGATCTGAAGCTTAACGTGGTGGATCATATCCAATAAAGTCACCTGCTGGGAGCAGACCCCAGGAAAGAGCCTCCTGAACAAAGCTGAATTCCCATTTCTAAGAATATTATCACAACAAGAACCCTGCCAAGGAGGAGAACCCAAGCCATAAACTGGAAGAAAGCTGTAAAGTCAGAAATAGGCATGAAGCAAGATGTGAGTTAGGGTCAGAGTAATGCTTCTCTTCTTGATCACCCCACAGCTGGCTCCTTTGGAGCATTCCAATCCCATTAAGTGTTACCCACAGAGAGGCCTTTCTGGACCACCCTATCTAAAGTAGCCACTTCACTACCCATCACATTTCTGTTTTTTTTTTTTTTTTAAAGCCCAACAGTGTATTTTTTTTTCCATAGGTGACTGGGAGGCAGGTGGTATTTGGTTACTACATGAGTAAATTTTTAGTGGTACATCAGGAGATTTTGATACACCCATCACCCAAGCAGTATACTCCTATTTATAGTAGTTTATCTCTTGCCCCCTTCCATTTCCCCCCAAGTCCCCAAGTCCATTGTATTGTTCTTATACCTTTGTGTACTCATAGCTTAGCTCCCACGTATCAGTGAGAACATATGATATTTGAACATTACTGAGTTACTTAGAATAATAGTCTCCAATCTAATCCAGGTCACTGCAAATACTGTTAATTCATTCCTTTTTATAGCTGAGTAGCATTCCATCATATAGATGTATAGATAGATAGATAGATAGATAGATAGATAGATATAGATATAGATATATAGATATATATAGATATATCACAGCTTCTTTATCCACTAGTTGATTGATGGGCATTTGGTTTGGTTCCACAATTTTGCAATTGCAAACTGTGCTGCTGTAAACATGCATATGCAAGTAACTTTTTTGTATAGTGACTTCTTTTCCTCTGGGTAGATTCCCAGTACTGGGATTGCTGGATCCAATGGCAGTTCTACTTTTATTTCTTAAAGAAATCTCCACATTGTTTTCCATAGTGGTTGTATACTAGTTTACATTCCCACCAGCAGTGTAGAAGTGTTCCCTGATAACCACATCCACACGAACATCTACTGTTTTGTTTTTTTATTTTTTCGTTATGGCTATTCTTGCAGGACTAAGATGGTATCGCATTGTGGTTTTGATTTGAATTCCCTGATCATTGGTGATGTTAAGCAGCTTTTCATATGTTTGTTGGCCATTTGTGTATCTTCTTTTGAGAACTGTCTATTCATGTTCTTAGCCCACTTTTTGAGGGGATTTTTTTTTTTCTTACTGATCTGTTTGAGTTCATTGTAGATTCTGGATATTAGTCTTTTGTCAGATGTAGAGATTGTGAAAATTTTCTCCCACTCTGTGGGTTGTCTCTTTACTCTGCTGACTGTTCCCTTTGCTGTGCCAATGCTCTTTAGTTTAATTAAGTCCCAGCT